GTGTGTGTGTTTAATTCCAATGTCTACAATGTAATAATATATATCACGTAAGTTCTATTTCTATAAATGCAAAGATAATAAACGTTATTTTTATTAAAAGTTGTTATAGCTGTTACACGCATATTTCGTTGCATATTTTAAATACAACTGATTATATACATAAATTTATATATATATATATATATATATATATATATATATATATATATATATATATATATATATATATATATATGTTATAAGCCCGTATCTACATTTAAGTTCAAATGTTCATTTTTAAGACTCTACGCTAAGGGCAAAAATAACTTCTGAACCGATTGTCTATTAAATGTGGAGTTTGAACGTGATACTTTCATCTAATCACAAGAGTTTGATTCAAACAACAACACAAATTACGGCTAATATTTAATATTTTGTCTTAATTCTTGCATGAATATTTTCAATAAAGAAGAAAATAAGCAATATTTAATCAATTGCCACGTCAGCCTATGCACGAAAATTCTGAAAAATTTATAAACTTTTTTCATTGAATACGAGCCTGTCCTATCAAATTTTTATGTCTAACATGGTCAGACAAGAAGGCAGACAGGTTTCAATCAACGTGTAGATTTTTACGTTATACTTTTGTTGTTGTTGTCTCTTGCCATATTTTGTAGTTTGTACTGCGACGAATGCAGAAAAACTTGAATGTTTCGAAATAAAAAATATTAATGAATTATTATAAAAATTTTTTCGAAGTAATTGCCTTGGCATAAGTAGACCAAAAAGTAAACTGCACGCATGTCAGTGAACATTTTAAAGCTTGATCACTCCTAAATAAGTGCCTGCTTTATAGTTATAATTCAAAGCTTCTTTACAAATATAGATAGATATTTTTCACAAAATGGTGAATATTCTGAAAGATGTTTTCATTTATGATTGGATCTCTTACTAAGAGCTCTCGTAACCTATTGACAAAAATGATGAGTGTGATTTGTGAAGTATTGAAAAAATGCGCGTTAAACGAACAGATTAGTAGGTCCGGGACATAGGCACTTAACCTTCAGAGAATACCTTCTTGAGAAAAATATAAGATCATACGCTTAAACCCCTTTGAACATTTAAGAAAAATTAAAAGTCATTTAAGAGACATTCGGAAAGGCTTTGAGAGTCGAACGCAGACGCACTGAACAAATCAAGCGAAACAACGCCAACAAATTGAAAGTAATTAGATGACGATTGAAAAAGATTTTGGACTGTCACAAATTTTTTCATATTTTTTGCGCTCTCTGATGTTGAGATAACGTGAATTTCAAATTGTTTTCCAACGAAGTTGAATCTGCCTTTCTTCCTATCAAAATTTTAACCCAAATTATAGAAGCAATATAAATCTAAGTAGAACAGAATCCGGTCACAAAAGGGTAGAATTGGAAGACGATTACGTTGTAAAAACAATTTACGTCGGTAGGAAATACGAGAGGTCGTATCATGATCAGAAAGATTGACATGCCATACTAGTAGAAACGAGATGACGTTAATTTAGTTCATTTTTCTTATTGTTTATTTTCCAAAGTGAATGATATCACAATGAAGTAATAACAAATAATAAACTGACAGAAAACCCAATTAATTAAACATTACCAGTAAATTAATTAATTAATCTAAAAAATGATATACGATATAATTAACCAATAATTTAAAAATGAATATAAAAAAATAAACTAAATTACCACCAATAACGATAAGAATTGTGGTTAGCTACACATATAAACAAACAAAAAAAAATTATTGAAGAAGTTTTGAAAAGGTAAAACTAACAAGAGAGGGTAATAAGAAAAACCGCAATTTGTTTGTGATAAATTAAGAAATAATTATAAATAATTATAAATAATTATAATTAATTACAATTACAAAAAGTTTTAAGGAAAACAGAAAACAATAATGGTCATCTTTCATCTATTGTTCATTGGAAACCGAAACTAACTATAATAACGAAAAAAATGTTAACAATATTTAATCAACGTTCGTCATAATTAAATAATTAAGTAAGTAATTACAAACAATTGAAAATTAATTAATTAACTATAATTAACTATAATTAATTAAATCATGCACATGTATGAAAGACCGAAATAAGAAAAATAAAACAAAAAAAAATGAAACCAACAAACTAAAATAATAATAATAATAAATGCGTCATCGATCGATGGCGCAAAAATTATATATATATATATATATATATATATATATATATATATATATATATATATATATATATATATATATATATATATATATATATAAACACGAGCATCAAGATTCCTTTAATCTCTCCACTAAACAACAACAACAGCAACAACAACAACAGCAATAATAACAATAATAATAATAATTAACCACAGAAAAATCACCAAATCATCGAAACACGACAGAACATATGGAAGTATTTAAAAGTAGAATTCGTTTAAATCCTATTATTTCTTTCTGCATGCATGTGCGGTGTACACATTATATACATGCATTCTATAACACACACACACACACGCGCGCGCACACACACACACACACAAGACACAAAAATTAAATTATGCGAATAAGTATACATCTCTACCCCCCAAAAAAACTGAAAAAAAGGACATCTAAAGAGAGTGCAGCATACATTTCAAGTAAATTTCATCATCTCTTACAGGTAGTGGTCCCATTACAAATGATAGATCGATCAAATAAAAACAGTACATACCGACGAGGACCGTGTGCTAGGAATTCAGTGAATTGTAAAATGTCAATGGAATATTATTAATACCAACAAGTTTCATGCCAAATACACACACACTCATACACACAAATAAGCACACACACTTGCCCAATACACATCATCCACACACTTCACTTACATGCCAAACACACACACGCGCGCGCGCACACACACACAAAACTGACGACCAATAACAACGTTAATTAAACAACGCATTAGCTTATGTCACAACAATATTCCAGAGTTCGAATTCTTGCGCGGATAAAAAATATTAAACGGAAAGTAAAATTATTTACAAGAGGTTCAGATGATATGGCGTAGTAGTAACGGAGATTCCGTCTTTACAATTTTCAACAGATTAATCAAAAGAATCGGTTTAACTAAAAAAAAACATTTAGATTAAAGAGCCATTAACATCATGGCGAGAGAGAAAGAGAGAAAGAGAGAGAGAGAGAAAGAGAGAGAGAGAGATAATTAATTCTAATTTAATTTAATTAATTCAATTAATTTGGTTGCTGGCAAGAAATAAAAGTATTGATTGGGACAGATAAAAAAATTAAACAAATGAATAAATAAATAAATAAATAGGAAAATAAACAAATTTTCGAAGCAACTAGAACCATTCAACTAATGTGAATAATGTCAACACAAACACTTCCATCATTGATTTAGCATGAATAACGAGTCTCTGGTATTGTACATAGAGAGATATACACAATTTAGGAATATCCCGTGAAGAATATGAAACTGATGTAACCAATTTACAATAAATAACTAGCAACAACCATTGAATGTAAAAATAATACACAAAAATAATAAATACACATGTACACACACATGTACACACACACACAAACACATAAAAGAAGATACAGATAGACACCGATAAACAAAATGTAGATGCATCAAACATTAAATTGATATTTTTTTGTTGATCATTTGATCACGTGCTCATTTACTTTCAATAATCAGCCAATCACGCGCACACACACACACAGACACACACGCCAAACTGCGATTTTTTTTAAATCAACCAATCATTCAGTAGTTACAGATTTGGCCAGGTTTCGAGGCATGTCAACCTAAAAATAGAAAATATTACCATTGTTAGTTTTTTAGTTTTTAAATAATACGTACACAAACATAATATTATAATTACAAACATAGTGGTCATGAATAATAATGGTATTATTGAAACATAATATAATAATTAATAATAATTATGATGAAGGATCTAGACTCACATCATATTCCCTTAGCTCGGCAATGTGCAGTGATAGCAGCTGTAAGGGGATAATGGATAGAATGCCTGAGAAAAAAAAATCAAAAAATTATTACATACAATTATTTTTTCTAAATCTTTGAAAATAAACGACGACAATGAAGAAGAAGATGATGATGATGAAGATGATGATGATAATGATAAAGATGTTGGTAGTGATGATGACGACGATGAAGATGATGATGATAATGATGAAGATGTTGGTGGTGATGATGACGACGATGAAGATGATGATAAAGATGACGAAACCTTGAATACAGTCTACAGTTTCAGGAATTTCGATGGATTTGTAGGCATTCTTCTTCGTTTCCTCGTCGCCCTTGTTACATATCACTATTGGATTGCCCTTGACATTCAAAAATATGACTATCAACATATTTTTTCGGCTTATTTTAGCCTAATCGCATATGAACTTATAATTATTTAATCGTATATTAACTTATAATTATATTTAGAATAATATTAATTAACATAATTTATATTTATTATGAAAATCCTTGAAAGTGGTGGAGCACTGGTTGCATACATTTAGCACGATGACTAGCGTTCATCCGAATTATCATTTATCATTAATAATAATATGCAATACAGAGTCCTACATGTCGTTATTTAAAAGTTTAGCGCTACATAAACTTTAATAATTTGCAACAAACAACCTTTAACATGTTAAATTTGCAAGTGAGGCTGCCATTGATAAAATTGTTTATACATATATATATATTTATTTTTATTTATTTCTAATAGAATTTGTATTATATAATATCTTGTACCATATAATATTAAAATTGTATAATATTGACTAATTGAATACAATCAGTATACAATCAATTGAATACAATACAACGCTACTAACATTCCTCGCTTTAACTTGCTGAAGTGCATTCATGCATTTCTATGGAAAAAATGATTCATTTAATTGGTTAATTAACATAATCAGGAAAATAATATAACAAGTATAATTAATAAAAAATGAACAGCAAAACCAACAAAAACCTAATACAAAACTACAAAAACATAAAGAACGAACAAAAGATTCTTCTTCTTTCTAGTGTCTTATCTTTTCAGGACATTGGCGACCATCGACCTCCACAAAAAACCCGATCTTTGACACTTTGTAGTAGTTGAAATGTGGTGATATTCAACATGTGACACAAGGACTTCACGAATGTTATTCGTTGTTGACCGCGATCTCTTTTCCCTGCAATCTTTTCAGTAGTTGTTAGATTTTCCATTCTTTCCTTCCACATGATGTGACCAAAAAAACTTTAACTGCCCCCGTTTGATTATCTGTAGTAATATCCTCTTTTCATAACCGGACTGTTTTAATACATCCTCATTCGCAGTATGAGATGTCCAACTAATTTTCATAATTCTTCTCCTCAAAAACCACATCTCAGCAGCTTTAATTGAAGCTGTTAACTTGTTTCATTACCATTAACCATTAATGATTACGGAGATGATCGGTGGGGTTTCGCTTTTACTGATAACCGTGCACTCTGTTTTGTTGATGTTGATTTGCAAGCCTCACTTTCAAAAACCAGTTTGGAAACAATTGTTTGCAGCTTTTCCATTGAATCTGCTCTAACAGCTGTGTCATCAACACATCTTACATTGTTAATATTCACGTCTCCAATAGATTATCTATCTTTGATGATCTCATTGTAGAGATTGTACAGGTCTGGAGAGAATACACAGTCTTGCCTAACACCTTTCTTTATTTCGACAAAACTAGTCATCTTGTTACCAACTATCATCGCTGCTCTTTGTTCCCAAAAAAGGTTTTTGATACAAAAAACAAACAAAACCGTAAAACAAAATACAAAACAAAAACATAGAAACAAAAAAACTGTTTGACGTCACTAGGTGGTACATTGGGTCCACGCAACCTTATAAACTGGATCCCTGAGAACAATCATGAGCAAGGGCATGGCCTCGTCGATAAGGGCAAGGGGTCCGTGCTTCAACTCACCCGCTAATATGCCCTCCGAGTGCATGTACGTTAATTCCTTTATTTTCTAGAGGCGGTTGGTAGAATGAATGGTTGGTTGGTTCATTAGATGGTTGGTTGGTTCATTAGATGGTTGGTTGGTTGAATGGTTGGTTGGTTGTGGTTAAATGGCTAGTTGGTTGTGGATGGTTGGTTGGATGGTTGAACGGTTGGTCATGTAATTAAACTAAAAATAATGAAAAGTATTTAATTAATGGAAATAGTTAAAATAAAAAAATACTGCCAGTTAAATAAGTATAGAGAAACTCACGAGAGCTCCTTCAAGGCAGGTGGCGTAGTTGAACCCACGACCCATAATCAGGAGACTCTTCTGCAGGTACAACTCCTCTGCCAGTTTGATCAACTCATCGTTCATTGAAAGAACCTCTTTTATTTGATCTGAAAATAATTAATTAAATTATTTATTATTATTTTAATTAATTTATTATTATTATTTTGATATTAATATAGTGTCACCACGATGTATAACAGAAAAGCGCTAGTATAGTGTTTTGTATGTTACAAGAAAGATTCCATACCTTGTTTCCCATGTGTACAATGTACATACATACATACATTGTACAGTACGTACAGTCGTACATACATACATAAGGTGTATGATTTGTGTTTGATAAAAGTTAAAAAATTTGCCTTTAGTACTGTGTGAACTATTTATTGTTACTCAACTATCCCATTGAACATCCAGCCAGTAAGCCAACCAACCAGTAAGCCAACCAACCAACGAACCAGAAAGCAAACCAACGAACCAGTAAGCCAACCAACCAACCAGTAAGCCAACCAACCAACCAGTAAGCCAACCAACCAACCAGTAAGCCAACCAACCAACCAACCAACCAGGTAACTTCTTCAGGGCAGCAATGATAACATGCCTCCTCTCTCTCATAGAAAGTTTATCATCGCATATCATCAGCCCGAACAAGACCAATGATATGAACTGACTAGTGTAGGCCTTGAAATGTAGTGATAAAAATGGCGTGACTAAATCATTGATGATTAAAATGTGATTACATTTATTATGAAGATCTGAGGACAATAATAATCAAGTGAAAATTTCCGCAATTAATTTTTATAAAACTTTTACTAGCAGCAAAATAATCACTATAAACATCTAAATCATCATGTCTGTGTGTCACTATCATCATAACCATCCTCATCATTATCATCATCGTCGTCATCATCATTTTCATCATCCTGTGTATCACTATCACCATCCTCCTCCTCCTCATCATCATCATCATTGTCATCATCATCATCGTCGTCATCATCATTATCATCATCATCGTCACCTTAGTGCTGGCCACTCCGATTTCAGGCCCTGCGTTGACGTGCACACCGCAGTGCGACTCCCTGCATATGCTACTGCCCACCTTTCATGACAGATGGTCGGATGGATGAATTAGTGAATGAATGAATGAATGAATAAACGAACGAACGAATGAATGAACGAATGAATGAATGAACGAATGAAGAAATGAATGAAAGAACGAACGAATGAATGAATCAATGAATGAACCAATGAATGAATGAATTGTGGATCGATGGATAAGCAATAGAATAAGCGGTACTTAGATAATTAAAAAAAATGTTCAATGGATAAATAGACAGACAGATAGATGAATGGATGGATAGATAAATGAATGAATAGATGAATAGATGGATGGATGAATGGCGGTGATAGATGGGTAGGTGGATGACGAAAACAATGATAGACTGACAGTATTGGTGATGCCGACAATGAGCGCTCCCCTCTGCTTGCAGTACCTCAGTGCCAACAGTGTATCTGCTGTCTCGCCTGGAAGGTGTTTAAATATTCGTCATCGTCTCTCGCTTGTTTGTTTGTTGTTTGATTGGTTGGTTGGTTGATTGTTTGATTGGTTGGTTGGTTGATTGTTTGATTGGTTGGTTGATTGATTGGTCGATTGTTTGATTGGTTAAATGATTGGTTGATTGGCTGGTTGATCGATTGGTTGGTTGATTGTTTGATTGGTTGGTTGATTGTTTGTTTGTTTGTTTGTTAACAAAGTATCAACCAAATTTCATTCAATAAGTTCAACCAATATATTAAATCAATTTTATAACGTAGAATAAAATGATACGAAAAATAATTATTAAAAACATCCTCTGACCTGATTGGCTGATGAAGAAACATACGTCATCCCTAAAAACAGGTGTGTTCCTGTCCAGAAAGTCGCTGGCTAGATCCACCATCACTGGCAATTCAGTCAATTCTTCCAAGAGCTGCCTTGTCTGTGTGTTTGTTTGTGTGTGTGTACATGTTTGTGTGTGTGTGTGTACATGTTTGTTTGTTTGTGTGTGTGAACATGTTTGTATGTGTGAGTGGATGTTTGTGTATACGGATGCGTATGTATCTATAAATAGGTGAGTGTGTGTGTGAGTGTACGCAAAAGCTAATGTAAAGGATGTTACTGTAGAGTACACACACGTGTTTACAATCGTATCTTCGCGTATTAAAGTATTTACAACTTTGTCGACTTTAAAATTTAAGTGATTCGCAGAATATATGAGTAGGTAAATATTTACTTGATCTACTACTTCGGCAAAAAACTTTTCAAAAAACATTCAAAACAGCACCGATAATAATATTCACTGGTAGGTCGGAACACTAACAGCGATGGCGCTGTGGTAGCTGGTACCACAAGCAATGAAAAGCAGCCTTCTGCACCTCTTGATCTCCGACAGGTGATCCTTGATCCCCCCCAGCAAGACCTGGTCCGTGTCAAAGTTCACTCTGCCCCGCATCGTGTTCAGCACTGATTCCGACTGCTCGAAGATCTCTTTTTGCATGTACGTTCGGAAGTTTCCTTTCGGGGGCGGTCATTAACATGGCGATGATTAAACTGATAAGTACGACGAAGATGATGATGATTCAGATGATGATGATGATGATTCAGATAATGATGATGATGATGATGACGATATAAAAATATGAAAAGATTCATATTGATTATAATCACAATGTTGCCAATAATCGGTACGAGAACAATGATGATGATGGTGATGATAATGATAATAATGGTGATGATGGTGATGATAATGATGATAACTGTGATGATGATGATGATGATGATGGTGGTGGTGGTAATGATGATGGTGATGATGATATAAAGCATGAATGCTTAATAAGAGTTGTGTAGCTGGTGCACTAGATGAAATATAATTGCGATCATTCTGATGATGAAAATGGTACACAAACGAACAGTATTTGAAACATACACACACATACAAACAAACAAACAAACAAAAATATGCAAACGCCCATACAACAAGATGAAAAAATAAGCCACACGGTAACTAACAAAATCTACAGGTAAATGATAACAAAAAAAAACACGCAAACACTGATACCTGAACGATATAAAATAAAACAAAGATAACAAACAGCAGGATGGCAACCTTTCATGAGTTGTTGTATCTCCAACTTAACCGTCGTCAATTCTCTACTCAGTGGCATGTGTGGGTCGTCCGAGCTGTTCCTAATTCTATGGATGGTCAGCTGGCCGTTGCGACCTACAGCCGCCACGTCGTTGTCCTCCAGGTACATCACCTGATTTGTGTGCTCGACGATTGCACTGTGTGTTGTGTTGTGTTGGTGGTTGGCTAGTTGATGACGATGGTTTTGTTATGGTGATTGACTGGCTGGTTGGATGGATAGTTAGCTGGATGGTTAGCCGGTTGGCTAGTTGGTTGGGAGTTGATGCTTTTAAAATGGTAAAGCGAAATTGATGTTGTACATTTAATTTCGTTTTAATTTCTTTTCTATATGATTAAGGCATGCATATTCTACAAGTTGCAAATTAAATTCTAACAAAAATTTGAAAAATGAAGATAAAAACTTTTTAAAAACAATCTAATTTAAAAAATATTAAAAAAAAAACAAATTCGCTATTCAATAACAACGCCACCGACAACAAACGCACATCCCTAACTTTCCTAATCGCCTAACCTGGCATCTGAGGCAAAGAAGTATTCAATCTCCTTGCCAGCACCGACAGGTCCCAGTGTAGATGTTTCATCATCCTCTAACGTCGTCTGGTACAACTGGCCTTGAACTCCTCTGAGATCTGACGATGATGATGATGACGATGAGGACGATGATGATGATGATGGTGATGTTGCTGATGGTGATGCTGTTGATGGTGATAATGATATTACAAATAATGATGATGAACAATTAAGATGAAAACGTTGGTGGCGTTTAAAAGATTGATGATAACAATAGATGTGAGGGCTATGAAAAAACACAGAGATGGCTATGAAGCTGATGATATAATGATGATAAAGATGATGATGATGTTGGTGGTGATGATGTTGACGACACAAGTACAGACGCTGCTGCTGACGATGTTATGAATAGAAAAACAAATGTTAGCTTAGTGGAAAGGTATTTAAAATGAAAAAATATAAGAATTCAATAATTTGAAAGCCACAAATTTTTGTTGGCCTCAAATTATTATTGACGACAAATAGATTCAAACTAATGAGATAATTATAATTAATTATTAAATAAAAATAAAAAACTATAATTTTAAAATAATATAATCTAAATTAATAACAACCATCAATGTTATATATATATATATATATATATATATATACATATATATATATATATGATGGTGTTATTTATAGAGTGAGTTCATACAACAAATACAATCAAATAAACGAAACTAATGAATCATAATAATTAAGAGCTAAATAAATTAAGCAAGAAAAAGTAAAAAGCTGCGGATAAAGCGTCAGCATCATCATCGTCATCATTACTATGGTAACGTTCTACATAATCATTACCATCGTAATCATCATCAATACCATCTTAACATCGCTTCATCCAACTTCATCATCGTCATCCTATTCGACATCATCATCATCATCACTTTGTTCATCGTCAACATCCTCATCATCATCATCGTCGTCGTCAGCACCGTCATCATCACCCACATCATCGTCATCATCATCATCATTAAACATCAGTATCATGTTATCAGTAACTTTTAAACAACTGTTAATGAGACAGCAAGTAAAAAAAAATAAATGAATGAATAAATAAATGAATGAATGAATGGATAAATGAATGAACGAACGAATGAATGAACGAACGAACGAACGGATGAACAAATGAATGAATGAATGAACGAACGATTAAACGAACGAATGAAAAAATGAATAAAAGAATGAATGAATGAACGAACAAATGAACGAACGAATAAACGAATGAATGAATGAATGAATGAATGGACGAATGAATGAACTATGTCAAACAAAGAAAATAAATACTTTTAGCTGTTAATCTCAGTTGATGTTGTATCGTTAGGAAAGCATACAAATAAACACATAAACATATAAACGAGTATATAAACCAAAATATAAACAAACAAACAAACAGATACACACATATACATGTATACACATACAATACATAGCTTCATAAGCATAAATACATAAGTATATTTAAATACATATATATATATATATATATATATATATATATATATATATATATATATATATTCATTTATTTATACATAAAGCATACAAATACAAAGGCACATTAAAATGAAGGTAAACCAACACTGAAACATACATAAACACATATACACAAACAACTCAATAAAGATATACAGAATAAACATGAAATAACATTAATTTTGACAAAACAACAATAACGAAAATAAAAACAATAATAATAAAAATAATAATTCTAATAATGAACCTTTATTTAAATCAGCGGATCGAGCTATTTTGTGAGAAATATTTTATAGAAAGTAACAATAGGAACGTGCATTAAATCCATGAATAAATAAAAGTAAATAATTCCATGTAAATAAACAAATTAATAAATAAAAACAAAATAATAAACAACCAAATATGTAGAATGTACGTGTATATAGATTATATTTGCATGTGTTTGTGTATATATCTTTTCAGTACTGTATGCGCGTGCGTGAGTTCACTGAAGCGTGAGAAATCGCAGGCAGTCGGAATACAAGTAGCAAAAAGTTGAAAATCAATCCCATTCGTTGCAGCACTAAAATTTAAGTTATACATGAGCAGATGAGTTAACACACAAACGAGCATGCAAAAAAACATGCGAAAGTGTAAACGAACGAACGAAAAACATGCGAACGTGTGAACGAACGAAAGTGAAAACGAATAGACAAACATTTTTTTTTTTAAAGTTTCAAGCCAGATAAAAAAAAACCAATTTCTAACGTGATAAAACACGCTCAAAACTCCAGTCCAAATCAACTTCCTAACATCAAACAAATTTGATTTTTTTAATACTACAATTGACGTAACAAAACATCCATGTTAACAAGAAGAACCATTCATAATAATACCCACGTCGATACCAATGACGATTTCAAATACCGCAGCTCCGGAGCTTAATTTAGGAGACCGTAATGTTGATAGTAAGTAGATTCTATATTTCACCCCTTGACATTTATTGACGACCA